TCACATGTCTCTTGGATACTCTGTTTTGAAGGAACATGATCCATGTACAGTTTAATTTTGTATTTGAAGAAATTTTTCATAGCTTGTGCTTAGACAGGTGGTTGTTTCATTAGAATCCATGTCTTCTCACCTTGCCTATGGATATAAATAGAGGTACCTGTATATGCCATGACTAATATATAAAAAGCCTCCATTTATATCTTAGGATGTTGTATATTGATATGAATGCAGAAGTTCCTGCTCTCGAGAGACATGTTCACGCAGCCAGGAGCTCAGCTGTAGTGATGGTAGATAGCATCAGAACAGTGCGTTTTGGTTTCTGAATTCTTTGTCCAGGGAAGCGGAAAGCAAATATTAATGCTTGCTTCAGAAGAAAACTTGCATTTGGGTGTAGCTTAAGACAGTGATGGGAAACTGGTTGCCACATGCTGCTGGACCACAACTCCCATAATCCCTAAGCATTGACCATGCTGCCTGGGACTGGTGGTAGCTGCAGTACAACAACCTTTAAATGGCTACAGGTTCCTCGTTTCTGTTGGACAGATAAGGGTGGTGGCAGTGTTCAAAACCAACCAGGCGCCAGTCACATTTCATGACCGGCAATTGGCCTTTTGCAAGCAAGTGGAGTTGTCTGGTAGCACCTAACATCTCCATCTGGCAGGCTGGCACTGCTGTGATGCCGAAGACATGCCTCTTTTGCTGCTGCTCTGCCCCACGAATCAGCTGAGTCATGCAGCAGCAGAAGACGCTCACATGTACAGAAGCTGTTTGCTGGCTGCTTCCTTCCACGGGCTGCTTTGCCTCCCCTTCCCACCCCAAACATGTAAGTTCTTATCTAGCACACTACTTTGCATAACAGATTTTTAAAATTTGTTAATAAAAAAATCTTTATTATTCTTTCTTCTTTCTTTCTTTTTTTAAATAGTGTTACCAGCTGGGTGGATCAGGGGAATGCTGTGGACATAGTGTACCTTGATTTCAGTAAGGATTTTAATGAAGTCCGCCATGATATTCTTGTGAGGATGCTGGTAAAATGTGGGTTGAAAGAGGTAACGGTTAGGTGAATTTGTAGCTGACCCAACCCAAAGAGGACTCATCAATGGTTCCTTGTCATCCTGGAAAAAAGTGACAAGTGGGGTGCCACAGGGTTCTGTCCTGGGCCTGTTGTTGTTCAACATCTTTATAAATGACTTGGATGAAGGAATTGAGGGGGTGCTAATCAACTTTGCAGATGACACCAATCTGGGAGGGGTGGCTTATGCTGCAGAAGACAGAATCAGAATTCAAAATGACCTAAACAGACTGGAGAACTGGGCTCAGGCTAACAAAATGAATTTCAGTAGGGACAAATGTACGGTTCTGCGCTTAGGCAGAAAGAACCAGATGCACAAATATAGGATGGGGGACACTTGGCTTACTAGCAGTACATGTGAGAAGGATCTAGGGGTCTTGGTGGACTACAGGCTTAACATGAGTCAGCTGTGTGATGCAGCAGCAAAAAACAAGCAAACACTATTCTAGGCTGCATCAACAGAAGTCTAGTGTCCAGATCTAGGGAAGTCATAGTCCCACTCTCTTCTGCCATGGTCAGACCACACTTGGAATACTGTGTCCAATTCTGGGCACCACAATTTAAGAGGGATGTTGACAAGCTGGAAGGTGTGCAGAGGAGAGCAAACAAAATGATTATGACTTATGAGGAGCAGTTGAGGGAGCTGGATATGTTTAGCCTGGATAAGAGGAGACTGAGAGGAGATATGAGAGCCATTTTTCAATATCTGAAGGGCTGTTCACATGGAGGCGGGAAAATGCTTGTTTTCTTCAGCTCTGGATAGGAGGACCCAAACCAATGGAGTCAAGTTGCAAGAAAGGAGATTCCGACTAAGCACCAGGAATAACTTTCTGACAGTAAGAGCTATTTGACAATGGAACAGACTACCACAAGAGGTAGTGAACCCTCCTTTCTTGGGGGTTTATAGCAGAGGTTGGATTGTCATCTGTCATGGATGATGTAGATAAGATTCCGGCATTGCAGGGCATTGGGTTACATGACCTTTGTTTTTTGGCCAGTGTGGTGGTTGAGTGAGTTATTTTGTAGTTTGTGTATGAGCGTCAGCTCAGAGACATCGCCAGGCCCTTCAGAGACTAACAGTGCAGGAGGCCACCACTCCATAAGAACCTGTGCTTACATCCTTGTTTAATAGAAAACACTTTGCAGGTAAGAAGGCTGTTCATAGCCCAATGGTCTGACTCCATGTAAGACAGTTTCATATATTCATTTGCTCCTGGGGTCTCCAGGACACAGCATGGCAAAATAGAACACTATTGTGCTCTCATATTCAGGTTATACAGTGGTGCCTCGCAAGACGAAATTAATTCGTTCCGCGAGTTTTGTCGTCTTGCGATTTTTTTCGTCTTGCGAAGCACGGTGTCAGAAAAGTTTTGGAAAAGCTTCAAAAATCACCAAAGTCTTTAAAAACCTCAAAAAAGGCTACCACACCGCGTTCTATGAGTTACTCCTCGAAGTCAAGTCGCAACTGTATTAACGGTGTTAAGAAAAAGGAAACAAACTTGCAAGACGTTTCCGTCTTGCGAAGCAAGCCCATAGGGAAAATCGTCTTGCGAAGCAGCTCAAAAAACAAAAAACCCTTTCGTCTAGCGAGTTTTTTGTCTTGCGAGGTACCTCTGTAAATGCTGTGTAAGTTGCCAGAACTGCTGACACAACTTCTGATTTTACTGATTTTGGTGAAGAACATCGGTGAAATTGGGGACTCGGGTGGAAGTGACATTTATTAGTGAAGAACTAATAGCAGGCCTCCTGGGCATCCCCTGAACGTGGAATTTGTCCCCCCCTGCCCATTGAATTTGACACCCTTGAGTTAGAGGGTCTGTGAAGACTTTAGCCGCTGTATATCAATTGTAGTGTTTGTTTTTAAGACTGGTAGAGCGATCTTTCACTCTTGTGTTTTGTGAGTGAATAATAGATTGGGATTCTGACAGTTCTGTGGCTTTGCTGGTGCAGAGTTAAGCAGCAGGATGCTTAAATATTCCTTTTGTGGTTTTACATAGCGTTCCTCATTTTGAAGCAGGCTGCCTTGTTAAAGGAAGTGCAAGAATGCTAATGTGGAATACAGCCTTGAGGCTTCCCATATGCTCTTAAAATACACAAGCATCTGTATAATTATGCAAGTTTAACTTTCCTGGTGCTTAGCTACTATAGGCAATAGGGCATTTCAGACTGTAAATGAACCTTGCAGAGCAATTTTCTGGTGCAATGTGGACTGTGGCTTTTGAATGGAATGTTTTGCCTGTTTCTTTGTTATACCTTTTTCTTTTTCTTATCTGTTATATTCCTTTGCCATTCATCCTGTTTCCCCCTCCTTTTCAGGAAACATGCCTTGAATTGCCACCGAATGAAACCTGCTCTCTTCAGCGTGCTATGCGATATTAAAGAAAAAACAGGTGTGTTGGTATTTTTATACAAAATTCATTTCTGAAAACCAATCTTTCTGGCACATGGGCTGCTGCAACTGTTAAGTGCTAAATTTACCATTAATGCACTGTAGCCTTCCAGCCACAAGCTGATATCAGTGAGACTTTGGGGTACATGTCCGTTCTTTATGGAAAGATAAAAAATACATAATTACAAGTGCACAGAGTTAAGATGACACACAAATAAGAAGAAAAGAGAAAAGAAATAGGACCAACTTAGAAAACAAAACAGAACAGACTTTGGGGTACATTTCTTCAGAGAGTCACTGTTTAAACCCATTGACTTCATTAGGATTTTAGCAGCCAAACTTTCTGTGTAGGCTTGTGACCTAAATTAGTAAATTGAAAATATCCAGGCATTCTTGTAAAATACTTGTATGTTGTTTGAACTAGTGTATGTACTAAAAAAAGATGAAGGATGGCTGTTTGACTATTTAAAGACATACACCCCCCATGCTCCATGTATGCTACATTTCTCATAAGCCAAGATATCAAGGGCTAACATCATCCTCCCTTCATGCTAACTTTCTAGAAGTGAATGGCTTTTGCTTGAAGCCACCCAGTGTTATCAGCTATTTGGTGACAAACACCATTCATTTCTCAATATTTCTTTCTACTTTGATGACCTCCGTATTGTATTTATTCTTCCGAGTTGATTGTATTTGGATTGTAGACAAACCTCTTTTATGGGATAGGCAACTTGTTGAACACGGAAGACCACAGTGGAAATGTCTTGCTCTAGAGAGCTGTGGCTAATTTGTATAATTTAATTTCTGCTTAATGAATGTAATTTGCATAATTTTCAGAATAACATAATCAGCTTGGTAATGGCAGGTGATGCTTTTTATGCTGGGTCTGGCATGCAACCATTACAGCAGTCGTAGATGTCATGACACAAAGATCTGTGAATGGCAGATAATGTTGACTGTCAACCTGGACTGGCGGGCAGTCTTCTAAAATTCATGTGAACTATACACCTCTTACACTGTTCTTTGCCTTGTCAGTAAATAATTCATGCATGCTTGCAGATGAGTACATATTTTCCAGCCTGTCTCCATATTCCTGTATGCCAGAGCGAGGCATGAGCAGTAGATCTGGCAAACTCTTCACCTAGAAGAAATTTTTGTTTGCCCCCAAGCAAGTGGCTACCTGCAGGGTTAGGACTGTGGTTGGGATCGTCTCCCATCTGTACAGGATTAACATGCAAGTGATCTTGGTATATCGACCAAATGCAAAAGTAGCCAGGGCTTCTTTACTTCAAATAATTGTGTAGAAGAAGAGATGTTAGCAGGAGCGTTTAGTAATGCAGGAGTGAGAGAAGCTGTACCTTCTGAAACACTCACTTTTGCACAATGGCCAACGGTACAGGGCCTTTGTCCTTCTTTGCACCTGCTCACCCAATAATGGATATAGTTTCTGATTTTGATTCTTTAGTCTCTTGGACCCACAGACACTACATCCTTGTGTTTCAGTGTTGCACAAGCCTCCCTCAGATGAACAGGAGTGGTATCCTTACCTGACAGGGGAGATTCCTTGATCATGAAGGAGGTTTTCCCAGGGTGAGGCTCCTCCACCGCACTGTGGGTGTGCTGACACCTGCGATTTCCCCAAATGCGGGAAACTTGACTGCCTTTATTTGTGGGGAGTGGTGAAAGGGTATGGCTGAGCTCTTCTTGCCCAGGCGCTGTTCATTTCAGTGTAATTTGCATGGGTGCAAACTGATGGTGCCTCGTGGGTCAGCTCTCTCTGTCTCGCACTCTGTCACACTCAGTGAATCCCCAAATGGGTTGTCTCAGTCTTGTGGTCATGATGGGGTTGTGCTGTCTGGTTGTGTTTTGAGATTTTTTTTACAATCAAACCAAAGGAGAGGATTAGGTGGAAAGTTCTGTGGGAAGGCAGAAGTCTGTGGTAATCTCCACTCAATGGTGACAGTTTTACTGCCCAGTTTAACCATTTCTTTGTCCACACACCTTTTTTTAGTTGAAGTGGGGAAGCTTTTCCTTTCTTCAGTGCAGCTTAAAGTTCGATGAAGCCACACCTATTTACATGATAATAGTGGAGAAAACAATAATAAAGACATAATATTTAAAGAGGTCTTTCCCTAACAATAATTAATAATAGCACTGTGTTCATTCTACATTACACGGTAATTCATTAATCCTTACACAAGCTGCTATGTAAAGTAAGCCAGCCTTATTATCCCTATATGACAGAGGCTGTGAGAGAGAGTAACTTGCCTGATACTGTTGACTCCGGCTGGGGTGAGGTGGGACACAACAGCTTCTCAGCTGACAGTTTATTCTTTTAGGCTGGAGTGTATGTGTTAGTTGTATTTTATTATTATTTTTATGTCGCATAACCCAGGCCTGTAACTATACGTGTTCAAAGTAATGGAAAGACTAGGAGAAGAGGCTGCTCTTCGTGGGTTTTACTCTAGTAACTACAGATATATGTTATTGGTTACAGTGATATTTCCTGGGCTAGAAAAGGCTTAGGAAACATTGCAAAGAGCAACCTGGGCATGCTTGCTCTATGGGTAGCATATTCTGTTTTCTTTTAACAGCAATTGGCCTTTATTGTAACATAGCTTTACAGAACTGGGAGAATGCTGCCTGTTTTATCTTTTATTGGGTTTGTTCTCTCCCTTTCTGCAGCTGAAAGAGCATGGATTCGCAAACTCTGCTTAATGAAATGTGTTTCCTGGTGGGATTTGCCTTTCTGGGTGTGCAGTTTGCATCTTTTAAAATGTGCAAGTTGAAATTCATTTCAAGTTGAACATATTTGTACCAAGGGATTGCAGCCCCATAGTTACGTCGGATTTATTTAGGTCTCATAGGTTTTTGAATGTCTGATGGCCTGTCTGTTCCTTATTTAAATTATGGGGAGCAGATGTTACTGCTTCAAGCAAACAAAGACCTGGTCATAGTTTGCATCAGGGTTGAGGCTCTGTTTTAACGATAAAGGGTCACAAGCTTGTTCTCAGTTCTGAATCAGTTTCAAATATTGGGCCTTCTGTTTATGCTCTCCTCTTCCCTTTTCTCTTCAGTCAAGTGCCCGCATGCTTGCAAGAACCAATGGTAAACTATGAGAAAAACTGGTGTTTCTCTCACTAAATGTGGTGATTCTCTGCCACTATGTGCATTTGGTCAAGTATATATTCTAGGCCACCTCTTGTGTTTTGACTTTTTCTAATTTTAAGACAGACTGCTGATCAACAAGGGCACTTGACATTATTCACGTTTGTTGGAGGGGTCCTAAGAGTGCCCTGATCCTTGAATATAAAGGTTCTTGGCATCCCCCATTGCCCTCAGACCACTGCCTTTATTGAAGAGGAAGAGTTCTGGAATAATTGCAGAAGTTGGTGCTAAGGCAGAAATGGCAACATGAACCTTACCAGAACTACTGGGTTTTAAACCAAGTACTGTATGGTAATGTTTGTCATTGGTTTGATTCATAAGAAAAAAAGAAACATGTTTTCAAGCTGTAAGAAACCAAGATATTCTACCCTCTGAGATATATATATATATATATAGAGAGAGAGAGGGTTGTTGTTGTTTAGTCGTTTAGTCATGTCCGACTCTTCGTGACCTCATGGACCAGAGCATGCCAGGCACTCCACTGCCTCCTGCTGCCACTGCCTTCCACTGCCTCCCGCAGTTTGGTCAATCTCATGCTGGTAGCTTCGAGAACACTATCCAACCATCTTGTCCTCTGTCGTCCCCTTCTCCTTTTGCCGTCCAACATCAGGGTCTTTTCCAGGGAGTCTTCTCTTCTCATGAGATGGCCAAAGTTTTGGAGCCTCAGCTTTAGGATCTGTCCTTCCAGTGAGCACTCAGGGCTGATTTCCTTCAGAATGGATACGTTTGATCTTCTTGCAGTCCATGGGACTCTCAAGAGTCTCCTCCAGACCATAATTCAAAAGCATCAATTCTTCGGCGATCAGCCTTCTTTATGGGCCAGCTCTCACTTCCATACATCACTACTGGGAAAACCATAGCTTTAACTATACGGACCTTTGTTGGCAAGGTGATGTCTCTGCTTTTTAAGATGCTGTCTAGGTTTGTCATTGCTTTTCTCCCAAGGAGCAGGCTATCACCATCTGCAGTGATCATGGAGCCCAAGAAGGTAAAATCTCTCACTGCCTCCATTTCTTCCCCTTCTATTTGCCAGGAGGTGATGGCACCAGTGGCCATGATCTTCGTTTTTTTTATGTTGAGCTTCAAACCATATTTTGCGCTCTCCTCTTTCACCCTCAATAAAAGGTTCTTTAACTCCTCCTCACTTTCTGCCATCAAGGTTGTGTCATCTGCATATCTGAGGTTGTTGATATTTCTTCCGGCAATCTTAATTCTTGTTTGGGATTCATCCAGCCCAGCCTTTTGCATGATGAATTCTGCATATAAGTTATAAATATACAGCCTTGTCGTACTCCTTTCCCAATTTTGAACCAATCAGTTGTTCCATATCCAGTTCTAACTGTAGCTTCTTGTCCCACATAGAGATTTTTCAGGAGACAGATGAGGTGATCAGGCACTCCCATTTCTTTAAGCACTTGCCATAGTTTGCTGTGGTCGACACAGTCAAAGGCTTTTGCATAGTCAGTGAAGCAGAAGTAGATGTCTTTTTGGAACTCTCAAGCTTTCTCCACACACACACACACACACACACACACACGGCTGCATGTGCCACTCCTAATTGTGAAGCTCTTAGTGCTAGAAGGCACTTGTGGGGGTTTCAGCAAAACATTATTCTGCCCCCCAAAATACTCTCTGGAGAACAGAATAATCATGTTGGTCAGATCTCTCCCCCCCCCCCCCCGCTGTAAAGATATGCAAAGAGCACCAACAGTGGAAGAATAATGGAAGATGTTGTTATTAATGCTGTGGAGGATATGCAGTGGAGAAGAGGTTCAAAATGGGAACCTGGGAAGTCACTGTTGTGTCACTCATCACCACTAGAAATACTTCTACCACATGCTCACATTTTGCCTGTGCAATTCACATTTTGCAGGAGCAATTCTCCTGCAAAATTCTCCTGCAAAATTCTCCTGGTAGAAATACTTCTACCACATGCTCACATTTTGCCTGTGCAATTCACATTTTGCAGGAGCAATCCCAGTGGATGAGAGAGCCAGAACTGCCTCTCATATTCCCAGAAAGGAGGGTAACTCCATCCTGCCCCCTCCGGTGAGGATTCTTTGTCACCAGGGCTTATCTTGGATCAGAGCTTGGTGGGGGAGTCTGCTGCTGAGGGGAGGGATGGCTCTTTCTCCTTGGCAAGACAAACAGCCACTACCATGGACCATAAATTAAAGAACTTGTGCTTGAACTTGCATTTTGCTCCTCCCACACATTCCTCTTTACAGTGGTTAAGAGCTTAATTCGTTCCGGAGGTCCGTTCTTAACCTGAAACTGTTCTTAACCTGAAGCACCACTTTAGTTAATGGGTCCTCCTCCTGCTGCTGCTCCGCCAGAGCGCAATTTCTGTTCTCATCCCAAAGCAAAGTTCTTAACCCGAGGTACTATTTCTGGGTTAGCGGAGTCTGTAACCTGAAGCGTATGTAACCCGAGATACCACTGTACTTATATGTTATTTATTTATTTATTTACTTACTTACTTACTTACTTACTTACTTACTTACCTGAAGGCAGGGACCATCTTAGAACTGATTTTTGTTAGCAGCTCTGAGAGCCTTTTTGGCTTAAGGGTGGCGTATAATGCTGTTAATAAATAATCAATAAATAATCAACTAATGGTACGGAGATGGGTCAGGAATTTTCAGTAATTATTGCTATGTTCAATAGTGTGCCCCTTTTGAAATTCTGCTCCATTTTTAATTGCAGTGGTGTAGGTAATGTTTTTCCTTGACATAAAATGTGCATTAGAAGAAAATTTGTCAAAGCAGTGTAACAATGCTTTTAGCTGCCCGCCCCCTGTCCCCCCAAAACAGTACTTCTGTCTTGTCAGGATTCATCCTCAATCTGTTAGCCACCATCCATCCTCCAACTGCCTCCAGTCACTCACACTCACTCTGCCTTCACTGGTTCTGATTTAAAGGAGAGGTAGAGCTGGGTGTCATCTGCATACTGATGAACACCCAGCCCAAACCCTCTGATGATCTCTCCCAGCGGCTTCATATAGATATTAAAAAGCATGGGGGAGAGGACAGAACCCTGAGGCACCCCACAAGTGAGAGCCCAGGGGTCTGAACACCCATCTCCCAACACCACTTTCTGGACACAGCCGAGGAGGAAGGAGCGGAACCACTGTGTAACAGTGCCCCCAGCTCCCAGCCCCTCTAGACAGTCCAGAAGGATGTTATGGTTGATGGTGTCAAAGGCCGCTGAGAGATCCAGCAGAACTAGGAAACAGCTCTCACCTTTGTCCCTAGCCCACTGGAGATCATCAACCAGCGCAACCAAGGTAGTTTCAGTCCCATGGTGAGGCCTGAATCCCGACTGGAAGGGATCCAAATGCATTCTAGATTTGACCTGAGAGCATCTTTCTGTTCTTTTTTTAATGCTGAAAGTATCTTTGAACGTATGCCCATGCACTTTGAGGAGCAGCAGCACATATTAGTGTTTCTAGTTGCTTTTGCATGTGCAGCCTGATCCTATGCTTTCTTACTCCCAGGCAAGTAGGCATAGGAATATATTCCAGTAAAATTTTAGTT